ACCGGCCACAGTTGCCACTTAGGCAACGGGCAGGGGGGCAGGTGGGAGCGCCAGAGTGGGAGAACTGTGGTGCTCCCAAAAGTAGCTGCAGTGATCAGCTGAGGGGGGCCACCCTTCCCCCCACCCCCATCACTGGGGAGGCACGTGCCCTGACTAAGGCAGCATCAGTCACCCATGCCTTTATGTGAATTTGAGTTATGCGTAGTTTTCCAGGAACACATGTACAGCATGAAGTGAGAGAAACCTGTACCACATTCTGTTGAAAGTTAACCATCTGGTTTGATAATAGCCATTTTCATGCCAGTCACCTTGAATTGTATGTGGCATATACAGGAGAAGAACCTGAGCAAAGTTGTCATTCAGCAGTTGAGAAGGTAATCTTGTGTGGATCCTTGGAAACACATGTAGATATTTCAGGATTGGAACATTTTCTTCAGTAATAATGTCAACTCTTGCTGCTTTACAGAAGAAAAAAAAATCAGAGCATAAAAAGTAAACAATGATTTGGGTAACCTTGCCAGCAAAGCAACCTCCTACAGTCAAACAATTATTAAAAGGTTAGCCGATAAAGCCTTTATTCAAAGCAGTTGGAAAATTAAAATCAACCCAGAAGTTGATGCATGTTTTGGCGAATTTGCTGCCGATTTTTCAGGAAAGGCCAAATGTTTGGTCCCAGTCAGTCCACACATAAGTTAATCACGCATCAATAAATGTTTTCGATACAATGTCTTTGTTTGGAGACAATGCTTTTACAGAAACTTAATTTATGAGTGCCATTTCTAATATGAAGTGTTTAAACGTAGTTAAATTTTAGCATAAGTTAAAAGATCTTTTCTCCAGTACTACCTCTTATTGCTTTAAGAAGTCTGTCAGTGCCTGTTAACATTGCAGACTCTGAGAGTTTGGAGGGTTTTTCCTTAGAAAGATGTCTCACAAGATAATAGACAGGAAATAAAAGGGCCGCCTTATTATGTACAATATGTTGTTTCAAAATGAAGCAAAACTAATGGCAGGTACAAACCTCCATTTTTCTGTTCAATAAATTAATAGATGAGTGTTTCACTAGTCTAACATATTAGTTCTACATGTTAGTATAGAATAGATTATGTTAAAAATAGAAAATTTATTAAGGGTTGAATGATGTTGCTAACCATAACAGGGCCAAGGAGGTGATCCTCCCCCTCTGTGTGACACTGGTC